GCTTTCTTCTTTTCTCCTCTTGGCGTGATTTTCTTCTTTTTCTTTGCCGACAGTCTGGACTGTGGCTTTTACACGTAGCTTCTTGCCTTTAGTAGCTTGGATGTCTTAACAATCTTATCTTCCCACTTTCTGATAATGGCGAAGTCCTGCTTGCTGATTGTCTTGTTGAAATTACTAGTCAACAAAATGTTATTGCTGCAGTAATTCACTTTTATTCTACTTTCAAGTGTAATTTTCTCAAGAGACTTTAAGATAAGATAAATCCTATCATCACGTTATAAATTTAGTTCTTCCTCAGAAAACTCAGGTGTAGTGCCCCGTTCGTTTATTAGAACTTTTTTATTTTATATAATTATTTATTTGCTTATAATTGACTATTTGCCTTTGTTTTATTTAATTGCTCGTCTCTATATGTCTTGTTTAACTGTTTATTATTGAATTGCTATGTGACTTTATGTATGTATACGTTATGTGATTTCATTTCTTATTTATGTATTAGAATTATTAGGATTTAATTGGTTTAGAATTATTCGTTCCGGCGATTTTCGGTTTAGTCGCGTAAACTGAACTTTTTCCGTATTAATTCGTTTTCGAGCCGTTTTGACCCGAACCTCGAGCACTATTATTCTCGGCCCTTTGAAGTCCATTTCGATCCAGTTGGGGGTGTGAGGACAAAGATAAAGTAGTGGGGCGTGAGCACAAAGATCAACGGTGCTCCGGAGAAATCCATACTAAAGTAAACAACAATAATAATAACAATATAATGATCGTCAGTATATATAAACTGAACTGAAACTGAAACTGAAATCATACTGTCTTCCGGCAATTTGGCTGGTGACCATGTGTGCACGCTGATGGAATATTAAGGCAATGTGGCCGCCACCATAACCTAGGATGGTTTATTAAGCATACTCAAGTGTTTGCTGTTAAAATTTCAGCTTAATAGCCTACCAATAGCTTGGTCAACTCAAGTGTTAAACTTAACACATAATTATGCAATAAACATGCATAATTCAAGGAATTTTATAAAATTCCACACTCAACATATGGAGCTGAAACTTGGTCATCTTGATCACCCCTCATGCAAGACATATTCATAAAATTTTTACATTAAAAGCTTGAATGTGGACTGGGTTCTCTCGAAACTAAACTCAAGTTGACATGCATGGTCTAGCATTTTTAATTCACTCATTTCTCAACATATTAAGCTGAAATTGGACATGTATATTTTCAACATATAGGTAAACATGTCATAAAAATTTCACATTAATATCATGCACATATGTTGATATAATCGAGTTCAAAGAACGCAACTTAAACTAGGCATTAAAACTCGATTAGCATGTATAATTTAAAAACTTGTATCTCAAGTTATACTTGACCAAATGACATGATTCTTTCACCTATATGCTCAACACTTACACAAGAAATAGGCATTATAAGTTCACTTTACCAGGTTGTACATAGCATGCTCAAATTCTCATAGAATCAACACATAAACATCATGCATGCGAGCCGGGAACAACTTTAACTTCTAACATGGATATATCCTCATATAAACTGAAACTTAGCCACACTTTAACATACATAAGAACACCTTAAATAATATATTAACATGTATCAAAAATAGCCTCTTACCTTCTTCAAAGAGCATGAAAATGAAAGGAAGAAAGTGATGCGCGGCAAGGCTTCCTTCTCGGCTTTTCTTGGTTTTGATGGCTAAGTGAGGAGGATTTATATGAAATACTAAGTGAACATAAGGTGAAGCTCTTCTCCACTCTCGGTTTATCTTAGCTAAATGAAGGAGTGGATGTTTTGTAAAGTGTTGAGTGAAATGAAATAAAATTCACCTCACATCTAAACCTAGGCTATTTATAATTAAGAGACAATTGATCACACATGAGTGGGAGACAAGGATTTTATCCTTAATTCTCCTAATGACAATTGTCCTTAAATAATTTAAGCTTAGGTGTAACTTTAATATGCTTAGTCATAAACCAAATGTCACTTTCTCCAACACGTAATCAAACAAGATAATGCCATTCCAAACGAAATGGGTGGAATTTATTTGGACCTTGGCCAATATTTTTGGACCCGACACCTTGACTAAGCGCGGCTACACACAAGCCAGAATTGCTCGGTCCCGATTGCGCCTCGACTTCGACAATTTCTTGAGTTTTCTCGACCTCAAATAATATGTCGACTTGAAATAATTAATTCCAATTAATAAAAAATTATTAATATCCATTTATGAAATAAACGGATCGGAATTAATTACTAAAACTGAATCGGCTATTGAATAAAATTTAAACCGATTATGTTTTCGACTAGAAATTGAACTTAGAACTGAAAAAGTCAATAGCTAGGCTCGGAAACTAAAAACGAGCATTATTAATAAAAGAAAAATAGCTCAAACTTGAAAGCTAAAACATCACTTTTATTAATTACAAAACGGGTCGTTACAAGTATAAGAAGGAATAATGGTAGTTTATTGAATTATTAGTTGACATGAAATATCATACTAGATCGGTTTTAATGGATAAGAAGGAATATACTAAGGAATAAACCTATACATGCGCTATGACACGTGTCATAATGGTATTGGTCAAGCCAAACTTGGGCAATAAGGTACACTTCCCTTATAAAATGGGCCTAAGGTATCCCAAAAACTCACTATCTCTACATTCACTACTATACTCTCATACTGCACTTTTTATCTCTAACGAGTGCTGACTTGCACTAGAGGCTCGACGCCGTGGCACCTCCCGACGTTGAGCTCTTGCAGGTATGAAGGCCGTCCGAGTTAAAGGAGCCCGAGTGAAGTCCATTTCACTACCACCCTCCAACTCATTTTTATTTTTGCAAACTTACGTGCCTGAAACATGTAACACTTGTTATCAATTATTTTTTCTTCGTTTCTTTTGAAAAGTCAAGGTAACTTTTTTTTTTTTTTATATTATTGTTGTTTATCATCCGGTGAGTCTCAATTCCAGTCTCCATTTTAATAAATGTTTTTTCATATTGAAATTAATTCTCTCTTTTTTATTTTTTCTTTTTTTCTTTTCTTTTCTTTTGAATTTGTTGTCTATTTCACGAGTTTTTAGTTTTAAATACTCCATTCATATTCAAAAGATCATAAATNTCTTACGTAATTTTATAAATATTCATACAAATACTTTGAATTATTTTATCTATAGAAATGTACTATTTTTCAAGTTGGAAGATATTGAGTTTGTGTTGTCATCGAGAATGATTTTTTTATATTTTTTTAACTAGCCAGCCAGCTAAGATCGATCTCGGCCGCAATTGCCGATCGACTGACGATGGTCCGGCCGGTTTCGCTGCCAGGCTGGCCACAAAAAACACACCTTTTTGAATGACATTTTCTCGTCGAAAATCGTCTTGTACAGAAGATTTTACGATTTTTTGAGATACTTTTTAAAAAATAACAAATATAAAATGGTTCAAGGGGCTGTACATAGTAATAGGGCCATAGGGACAGTGAATAGTAAACATCCTCTTATCAAGGGTCACGGCGCCAGATAGTATCGTACGCCTCCTAGTTATAATGCGCCTGCCTTTATCCTGCGCAAATTAGGGTTGTAGTCCACCTCAATATCCTTCGTTCATTTTTCCAACGTATCAATCAAGTTTGGGTTCACACACAATTTCTATCCTATGTTTGTTTATTGATTTGGATTTCTATTTTTTTAAATGTATTCGTATCAATGTACGGTTTATCACCTGAAGATTGATTGGTGCCACGATTAAAAGGAAGCGAGGTGCCTTGATTTTATTTTATTTTATTTTCTTTCTTTCTGTTTTCTTATTTGACATTAGCTTTTCTATTTGATGAAGCTATTCTTGGACATATTTTGGGATTGACTGTTTTTTACACCTAATTTTTTCTCGTTGGAGTTAAGGATTTTTGTTCGGCATTGTTATTCTGAATGTTTGCTAACACGATATTTTGCTTGATGTTACTTGTTGTGTACTGGTACTTCGATGCCATTGCATATGCACAGTCATGTCTACAAGTTGCTTCTTATGTCTGCATTTTTGTGCTTTTTGTTATTTATAGCTGTGTGCGATAGGAATGTTATGGTTGTTCGAGTATCTGGAGGCTGTACGACATGTTTTCTCCATCCCTATCAGCTCATTGATTTTTCCGGTTTTGTTGTAAAGGGTAGGAATCATGGAAATTTCATAAATATCAACAAAATGTATTAAATTGTTCGACTTGCTACATGTCTAGTCTCGTTGTTTCAGTGTAACTAGCCAATCGTCTTACATTTCTCCTTAAGATGCATGTTATTTGGGCCAATCTGTACAAATCACCAAAATTAGATTCATGGTTATATCTGTTCTGGCATATGTCATGAGTTACTCATCCTTTTCCTGCCTCGTCACCCCTCATTCTTAACATTGGCATTTTCTTGTCCAGACATGCGCAGAAAATAGCAATAGAAACAACATCGAACAAGGCTACGAAAATGTCCGAAGAAGCTGTCCACGTTATGCTGGCGTACGAAGACCCCTCCGACCAAAGATCCCTCTCCCCTGACTACTCGAGCAGCGCCGAGGAATCACACGAAAAGACCGAACTGCCCCTGGACTCTGCCGACGATCACATACCATACGTCGGCCAAAGGTTCCCCTCTCAGGATGCCGCCTACGAATTATACAGCGAATTCGCCAGGCGTTGTGGCTTCTCCATTAGGCGCCACCGCACGGAAGGCAAGGACGGTATCGGAAAAGGCCTAATGAGACGCTACTTCGTGTGCCACCGTGCAGGCAACACGCCTGCTAAGGCGCCGAACGAGAAAAAGGCCCAAAGGAATAGAAAGTCTTCGAGGTGTGGGTGCCAAGCGTACATGCGGATAAGCAAGTCTGCTGAAATGGGAGTGCCAGAGTGGAGAATCACGGGCTTTGCGAATCACCACAATCACGAGCTTCTGGAGATGCACCAAGTCCGTTTCTTGCCTGCGTACCGGACAATATCAGAGTCTGACAAGAACCGAATTCTCATGTTCGCCAAGACTGGGATTTCCGTGCAGCAGATGATGAGGCTTCTGGAGCTTGAGAAGTGTGTGGAGCCCGGTTACCTGCCCTTCACTGAGAAGGATGTGAGGAATTTGCTTCAGTCTCTTAGGAAGGTAGAGCCGGAGGATGAGGGTGTGGATTTGCTGAGGATGTGTAGGAATATTAAGGATAGAGATCCCAATTTTAGATTTGATTACACGGTTGATTGCAGTGGGAGGTTGGAGAATGTTGCGTGGTCGTATGCTTCGTCTGTACAGTCTTACGAGGTTTTCGGGGATGCTGTGGTGTTTGACACGACTCACAGGCTGACGGCTTTCGACATGCCTCTTGGGATATGGGTCGGGGTGAACAATTACGGGATGCCATGCTTCTTCGGCTGTGTGCTACTACGTGAGGAGAATCTCAGATCGTTTTCTTGGGCTCTGAAGGTAAAACGAAAAACAAAAATGTGATGGGAGAATGTTTTGTTGTTGCGTACTGTTTTGATTTAAAAAATGATTGCACAAAAAATAGTAGAAAAAACTCGTGGTTTGTGAAATGCATCCTATCGTGTTTAAATGGATTTGTTATTGTGGACTTGAATTTACTCAAGTCAATCTAAAGTAGCTCAAAAATCCAGTTAAAGTTCATTGCATGAAATGGTTATGGATTTGTTATTGTGGACTTGAATTTACTCAAGTCAATCTAAAGTAGCTCAAAAATCCAGTTAAAGTTCATTGCATGAAATGGTTATGGATTTGTTACTGTCCAATGCAGATCTGAATCTCTTGCTTATTTCACAAGCTACACATTTTAGCTAACTTTTTTTTTTTTTNCTTTTCTTTCGCCTTTTTAAAAAATATAAATATATACAAGGCTTTCTTGGGGTTTATGAATGGGAAATCCCCGCAAACAGTATTGACGGACCAAAATATGTGCCTAAAAGAAGCAATAGGAATAGAGATGCCCGCCACGAAACATGCACTTTGCATATGGCTTATCGTGGCCAAATTCCCTTCATGGTTCAATGCTGTCCTTGGAGAACGCTACAATGAGTGGAAGGCCGAGTTTTACCGACTATATAATATGGAGACAAGTGAAGATTTTGAATTGGGCTGGCGGGACATGGTGAACGCCTTTGGTCTGCACACGAACAGGCACATAGCCAACTTATACGCCTTACGACCAATGTGGGCTCTACCATACTTGAGAAATCATTTCTTTGCAGGGATGACGGCTCCTGGACAGTCCAAGTCCATCAATGCTTTTATTCAACGGTTTTTGAGTGCTCAAACCCGTGTTGCGCATTTCGTGGAACAAGTAAGCTGTTATTTTTCAATTTACTCACTAATGCGAAGTGTTTAGTTTTAGTTAATTGTGTCTCCATCTTGTTCTTGAGATAAAAGCTGCATATGACTTTTACAGTTCAATTTCATCTGGTCATGACTCATGACCTATACTGGTACTGGAATAGTTTCAAGTTCCGCAGTTGAGCTGTTTTATCGAGTTTTCAAATATAGGTTATCGTATCCTTGAGGTAGATTTTCTTTTGAATTTATGTCAGATTACAAAATTACAGTGATGGGAGTGAGAGAAATGCCTGTTTCTCGGAAAGTGACCCTACGGTTTAGATTAGTTCCATGAAATGCCAATTATCTTTTGGGAAATACAGTTACCTGACAAATGAAATGCATGAAAAGTTTTGTGGTAAACGGCTAATATTGACGAATGCGATATNCACGGAAGCCCCGAGTTCTCCACATTTATGTGAATCAGTTTTGCTATGAAGCCAACAGTTGGCTCCATAGTGGAACCAACCTTCTATATACAACAAGTAAACCATACTATATTAATAAAATTATTAGTATTATTTAAGTAATCAGAGAGAATATGGTATGATTTACTTGTTGTATATAGAAGGTTGACTCCACTAGCCAACTCTTAGTTTCATAGCAAAACTGATGTGAATATCAAAATTAACCCCCAAACTTGTATCTTTCCAGAAAATTCTACTTCGACCTAGAAAAACTCGACATACGTTTGACTACAACTTCCTTTAACTTTTTTTCTTGGATCCCCTTCAGGTGGCTGTGGCCGTCGATTTCCGGGACCAAGCAGGCGAACAACAAACAATGCAGCAGAACATCCAAAACATCAGCCTAAAAACCCACACCCCAATGGAATCCCACGCGGCCTCCATCCTAACACCTCACGCCTTCTCAAAGCTCCAGGAACAGCTCATCATGGCAGCACACTACGCATCCTACCCAGCACCCGACGGCACCTCTTTCCTCGTCCGCCACCACGCCAAGCCCGAGGGGCCCGGCCGCAGGGTCTACTGGGCCCCACGCGCCGCCGCCACACTGGAATGCAGCTGCCGCCTGTTTGAGTTCTCGGGAGTGCTGTGCTGCCACGCCCTTCGGGTGCTGTCGGCGGGCAACTGCTTCCAGATCCCGGACAGGTACCTCCCGCTGAGGTGGCGGAGGGTGGTGAACGTGGGCCCGCCGCTGCCAGGTGGCGGAAGGAGGAGCAACGAGCATGCGGAGAGGGTGGAGGTGCTCAAGGGAATGGTGGCGGCGCTCGTGGCTGAGTCGGCAAAGTCGAGGGAGCGGTTGGATTTTGCGACCGAGCAGGTCTCGGTTATTTTGTCCCGGGTTAGGGAGCAACCCGTTTTGAATTTCCCGACCCAGAGGAGTCTTGTTTGACAGGATATGAAGGTTAATTATTTTGTTTTTTTGTTTTTTGGTGTTTTTGGGTATGTGGGAGTTTTGTGTGATGCTGTGAGGAAAGATCGAAAACTCGTATTCAGCAAATACGTTTTTAATAGTAAAACGTATTTATACAATATGGTTTACTATATTAACCGTATTCATGTAATGCGTTTTAAATTAGAATAATTAATTACCTTAATTAAGTAAATTAATCAAACATAAAACGTATTGGTAAAATACGTTTCTTACTGGGAAAAAAGAAAACGTATTTTCTTAATGTGTTTTATAATTCATTTTTTTTAGAATTTATTTTAAACATTAAACCATTTTCAAAAATACGTTTTAAAAAGGAAAAAAATAAATTATATGAATGTAGAAAAAAAACTTTAAAAAAATTGGTAAAATAGAAATAAATAAAACGTATTCACGTAATAAGTTGTCCTGTGAAAATTAAATTGACCGTATTCCTGAAATACGTTTTTTATAAAATTAATTTTAACCTAATTCAATTTCATTAAAAACGTATTTCAGAAATACATTTTCTGAGAAAACCTTAATTCCTAAATCATAAAATCGATTTTACCCTAAAAACAATTTGAGGCAATTGAATTCGGATCAAGACGTATTTGAAAAATACAGTTTTAGCAAAATTATGTACACTAAACGTATTTGTAAAATACGTTTTTTAAGTGAAAAAATTGAAAACGAATTAATGAAATACGGTTTTAGCAATTGAAAAAAAAACCTATTAGAGATCATTTAACAACCAAATATACCTATTCACAACCAAATACACCTGTTCGAACAACTAATATCAACATATTCGCCCAATAATAATCCGACATACACTATAAACAAACAAATGAAACACAATAATTTGTTGAACAAACAATATATACAAAACGATATAATTCGGTTTATACAGACAATCCAACAATTCAAAATGAACACAAAATCCACGAATTCAACACAACTAACTAGGAAGGAGTGTATGGATCCCTAGGCCTGCGCAGTCTAGACCCCTTCCGAGTATGTATCATGTGAGAAGAAGACGAAGGTTGAGGTGTGAGAAGCGTGTCAGTTTGAAAAGCTTGCGCATTTTCATCTTCTTCATCTGAGTAATTCAATTGAAAAAAGAAATCATAAATTGGACTGGAAAAAAAAAAAAGAAATTGTTAATTTAAAAATTTCACCTTGTTGAGGCTCGGGCTGCTCAGGTTGGAGGTGCTGGGTCTGGCTGAGCGTAGGGACGGGCCCGAGGTCTTCTACCCCCACCAATGTTGGGGGCGGGTTGATGCCTGCCCGTGTGTGACTGTGCCCTCATGGGGCGAATGTATTTGTCCTGGGAGAAAACTTGACTGGACGGCCCCCCATGTGGAATTCCCTGGCCCCCAACAGTCAGAGAAGAGAAGGCAAAGTTGTACGACTATTGGAAGCCTGTCTGCGCTTCTGGAGGGATTTGAGGCATTAATGGTTGAATATCGGATAATGCGTCATAAACCCCTTGTAGTGCAGAAGTCTGTAAATAAAATTCATAATAATTAGTATGAAACACCATAATAATAATAATAATAATAATAATAATAATAATAATAATAATAATAATAATAATAAACACAAATAATGAACACTTACCTGACAGCCTAACCGCTCGGCAAGTGGCTGATACCCGCCCGCCTGTTGGAACACCGGGTAATTGGCAGGGTTATTTATGAATCTCACAGTCCTGCTGTAAAACCATTCAAGGTAACCCTGCTCCGGCTGCAGATAGTCGTACACAGGGGCAACTGGGAGGAGACGTTGTTCTATTTCTTCGATCCACGAGCTCAGAAACGGTACATGGAATGCGACCCAATCATAAAATGCCCTCCCAGTCATCCCCTGACCTCTGTGGTGTGTGTTCCAGTCTCGCTCATCCCGAATGATCAGATTTTGGGGGGATGGACTGGCGACACCCAAATTGACGGAGGTCCATATCAGGCAGGTGTACCTCCTGGGTGTTCCAACTGAAGATCCACCCCCGGTACATCCAAAATTGTGGATCTTTTGAGCACGCATCCGGGAGAGTATCATCCTCCAGGTGGTTTCGATAGGGCTGCCAATCGAACCGTAAAAAAAAATAACACTTGAATTAGTAATTAAATTATTACAAAATTAAAAACAAAAAAAGAAAGATAAATCAAACAATAGGAATTAAGAATATTACATCATTCTCTCCCAGCCCTGTCAACTGATCCCGGTAGGCGACCAATGTATTGGCTATGTTTGACTTCTTTTTCGGTCCCACCCACCTTAAAAATCACAGAAAAAAAAGTTTGTAATCACAAAACTTGATAATGAAAATAATGTACGGATTAAATAAAAATAAAGGTGATTACCTCGCTCCCAATGGACAATCAGGCAGAGTATCAAACCTACTGGTCTTCACTATTGGGCGAATACGAGGGATATGCTCCCATGCCCAAACCTACACAAATGGATATTAATTTTTTTATTAGGTATTAGTCGAAGTAAGGAAAAATAAAATATTAAATTTTCAAATAACAATGGAATAAATTTACCTGGATCAATTGAACGCAGTTTTTGATCTACTTCTCCTTGGCCTTGTATGAGGTTGACAACGCTCTATATACTCCGGCCAAGAGCACTGAAACCCAGCTGTACCCTTAATAGCATCTATGTCCTCCAGCAGCTGGAGCCAGTAAAGTGGGACGCCATTCGCCTGCTGGTCAGGGAAGATGAAGGACCTAACGCACCAGAAGATAAGGGCCCTCGCACTCCGCTCGTACACGATGTCTGGTTCTCCTTCTTGCAACACACGGTTGCATTCCTCCTCTAACCCTCTATCATTCAGATATTGGCCTTTAATGTCCCAAGACTTTGGATCCTGTGCTGCTTGCTCTGCCTCGGTGGCGAGAGGATCCTGAGAGTGGTTTTTCCATATTAAAAACGATAAAATTGAGTTGAATTATATTTAAAAAAAATTCTATGAAAAAATGTACCTGAACATAAGGCTCAAACCCTAGCAAGTCCTTGCACCTCTCTCTCCACTGTAGGAGTGATAGATCTCTAGTCATTCCCATAACAGCAGCTCCATTGATTGGCAGACCGAACAGGACTTGTACGTCCTGGAGCGTGATGGTGGCCTCGCCGAAATCGAAATGGAAGGTATTCGTCTCTGGGCGCCACCTCTCCACGAGAGCAGTAATGAGGCTGTGTTGGCTTGGATTCGACCCATTCGAAACAAGGGTCCGAAACCAGTCCGGTCAATGACCTCCCAAACCGACCGTGGCTGGCTTGACAAAGCCTCCCAGAACTGACCGTCGAAACGGCGGTTTGTAAGCGTCGAGTCACGAGCTCCCGGTGCATTATCAAATACCGCCTGTGACCGGTGGCGGTACTGGAGATATAGAAGAGTGCCATTCCTCGGACCGGGATGGACACTGTACTGCTGAGGCTGTGAGGAGGACGATGAAGCCATTTATCTACAAACAATACAAAAAATAAAATATTAGGATTAAGGTTATTTATTAAATTAATGATAGCCTGATGTTTATTTATGAATTCTAAATAAATTAGAAGGTATGAAAGAAAATGTTTTCTTAAAAATTTAAATTTAAAGAGGACGTACTGTCATTAATTAGTAAAAATTAGAGTTTACAATTATCAATAGTGATCAAGAACGGGATTATCGCACGGGATTATCAATAGTGATCAAGAACAATGGTAATATAATGTTTACAATTTAGATGCTAATAACATTAACAAAAACACTTCACAACAATAGCCAAAAACCAAGTATTTCAACATATTTCAACATTAGAGTATCGAGTCCACAATTTCACAATTCGAAGTTCTAATTGGAGTCCTAATTCCGAAAAATCGAAGTTCACACAATAGTTCACAATTTCACAATTTCACAATTTCAACAACATTAAAGTTTCGAGTCCTAATTCGAAGTTCTAAATCCAAACCCTAACGTCCTAATTCTGAAAATTCCCTAAACCGTAATTGCAAGCCTCATTCAAACAATAGTTCAAATCAAGCCCTAATTCTAACCCTAAATGTAACTCTAACTTTAAAACATCTAATTTTCAAGCAACCCTAACCTAAAAACGTATTATGAAAATTCGTATTTGTTGAAAAATTTGAAAAATTTTGAGGCCATTTACCTAATTGACGAAGATATTTGCAGTTGACGGTGCCGAGACGGCGGTGGCGCGGCGGTGGTGGCGCGCGGCGGCGGTGGAAATTCGCAGATCGGTGGTGGCGGATGCAGAGACGAGCAACAAGAAGATAAAGACCATACGTAAGAAAACGGTGAACTCGTCTAGGAAGGATTGGTCTAATCGACTTGACGATGCATTATGGGCCCAACGGACAGCGTATAAAGGAGTCATATGAATGAGCTCGTTTCGGGTTGTTTATGGAAAATCTTGCCATCTTCCAGTGGAAATTGAGCACAAGGCATTTTGGGCTATCAAGAAGGTGAACTTTGACTTGGATGCAGCCGGAAAGGAGAGGGTGCTGCAACTCTCAGAACTTGAAGAGTGGAGGAACAAGGCATACGAGAAATCGAAGATCTACAAGGACAAAGTCAAGAAACTCCACGATGCCTCCATTGTTCGAAAAAACATTGTGCCCGGCATGAAAGTCCTCATATATAATTCCTGTCTTCGTCTATTTCCGGGAAAGTTCAAGTCTCGGTGGAGCGGACCTTATGTCATCGATGAAGTTCTATCTCTTGGAGCCGTTCGACTTTGCAATCCGGCGAACCATGAATTATGTGTGGTGAATGGTCGAAGAGTGAAGCCGTATTTTGAATGAGCAGCAGGAGAAGCATGAGGCCTGTTGGGACAGTTGGGAAGCCAAGCAGTACGCCAAATGGAAACAATGGGACGATCAGTTTCAACAGTGGGACACCCGATAGAACTCGGGGTCCGGTCAACCTGCCTTACCTCCACCACAACACCCGGACACACAGTGACTTATCACTGTGCCTTGTACGTTTTTCTTTCTCTTCCTCTTTTATTTTGTATAGCTTCTTTGCTTGTCGGTTAATTATATGGTTTAATTCGCCTTCACCGCGAATCGACAATGGAGACATTGTCTGATTTTAAGTGTGGGGGAGTTTTACGTGCTTACGTTACTATGTGGTTGACTAGGTCTAGTTTTCTTTTAGGATTGCTTTTATTTTCGTTTCTCTTTCTTTGTGGGCCAGTCTAGTTTGTAGGATTCTTTGCTTGTGTCTTTCTGAGCTTGAACTTTGGTGTATTGTAAGAATGGTTAATGATTGATTGATTGGGTGAAGAAGTTGTGATGATGAGAATGAGTGGCACATTTTGATGAATTGGCTTGGTTGTTTTGTCGACATTTATTTCACCTTGTGAGGTTTGATCCACTTCATTTCTTTTCTTGTGAGTTATTGGTCAGAATCGTTGTCAATTAGAATTTTCCTTGAGTCTACTTAGAAATGAAATAATTGGATTTATGAACGTGAATATGGTTGAGGCATTCTTTGTATTTCCTTTCCCTTTTATTTTTCTGAAAATAATTTCGCTAGTCACCCCCTTTGAGCCTTATTGATTTTCTTTCTTTTAACACCTCGTGACGATGATATTGTGGAGTTGCAAGTGTAGAATTGGAGGTGATTCGTATTTGTATATATATAATTTGATAGAAAAAAAGAGAAACCGAATGGATTACATAAAATGTCCGAAGGTTCTCACAAAAAAAAAAAGAGATATGGTGAATAATTTGGGAAGTATGTTGGTTTTGGAGTAGTGGGAGGAACCGGTTGGTGTCAGCAACCGAAAGAGTTCATGATTATGGTTATCTGATTGAGTTGATTTGATTTTGTTTATTTTAGCAGTTAGTCTATATTTATCCTACCTGATCCAAAGAGCCTACGCTACATCCCTTATATACTATATACTATATGTTATATGTTACATTCTATATGTTATATGTTATATGTTATTTGTTATATACTATATACTATATGTTATATGTACTTGTTATATACTATATGCTATATGTTGTATGTTATTTGTTATATACTATATACTATATGTTATATGTTATATACTATATGTTATATTGTTTATATACTATATACTATATGTTATATATTATATACTATATATTATATACTATATATTATCTAATTAAAATCACATAATTAATTTAAATAGGTTCCTTTCGACGAACATGGGAAAACGTGTTGTTCAAAGCCGACCGAGCCGCCCCACCCAGAAATCTAAACCGAGCAAGCCAAGGGCAAGCCCAGAACTGCAGGCCATTCTTGCTCGCGCGAGACCACCTCGCGGGTAGGTGTAAGTCGCGAGTTTTTTTATATTATTATTTTTTTTTGTATATAGAAAACGTATTACAGAAATACGTTTTTTAATATTTAATGTTTTTGAAAACGTATTTGAGAAATACGTTTTTAACTGTTATATGAAAAAAAAAAAACTTGTTCTTTTTATTGTTTCACCATTTAAAACCTGTTACACATATTCAGTACAATCATCTACACAAAAAATACACAAACAAATCAACTCATATACAGTCCAACATAACAAAAATATATCATCCAAACATAGTCCAACAAATCAAAGTAAACAATCAAAAAAAATAGTCCAACATAAAAAAAATAAACACTAACAAATCTAGTTTCCCCACTCATCACGGAGCCTAGATCTATCAGTGCGAGGATGTGAGGACGGACTGTTCGTTCCACTTTTGTCATGATTTTCTTGTTTATTTTATGCTTATTTTTCCCCTCCTTAGGTATTTTTCGTGGGTTCTTGGTCCATTTTGAGTCGTTTCGTGCATTTCCTTTGTTTTAGTCGTTTTTTGGTCTTTTTGTTCGTTTTTCCGTATTTCTTGTCGGTGGTGATGTGCAGGATAGGTAGCGCGGTGCGTGCCCATGTGAGGATTACCATCTAGATGGATGAGTTGGGGTCGAATTGAAAAAGACGGGATTAAATTCCATGTCCGGATGCGAGAACACGATCCCGAGAGCGTTTTTGGCAAGAAATCCTTCGCCGCGGCCGCGGAGGTGAGGTCAAGGCCGCGAGGTGCCCGACTGCCCCTTCTCTGTCATGAAGATTTTGCGGCCTTGGGTGTTGTCATGGCCGCGGTGAACAAAAGATAATTCGGCCCAGTTTTAGTCGTCGCGGCCGCGGAGGAGGATAGGTTGCGGCCGCGAAGGTCTCAAAATTCACACTTTCTGCGCAGATGAGGTCGCGGCCGCGGAGGCCGCGATATGCAAAATTTTAAAACTTAGATTTCAACCCCGTTTTTCATTATCTTCCTTCTAGGTTTTGATACTCTCTCATACTTTTTCACTCCAGAACTCATTTTTCTCTTAGTTTTGATTGGGATTCGATCTTGGATTGCGAAAACACCAAGTTTCGACTTGTGGATTTGGATTGTTCGTTATTTTTCGACATTGGATTCATATTTAATCGTAAGCTTTCTATTTCCTTTTATCTGTGATGAATGTTATGGCTTTGTTTGATATGAATGTTTGTGTTGAGATCACTATGAGTAGCTAAATTCTCTAGCTAGGATTAGGGGATTGTCGTTCCGGTTCGATCTCGTTTACATGCTCGATAATTACTCAATCTTTTCGAGTTGTGCTTAACCTAGGGTTTTAGATGCTTGATCACCATCTCAATCTAATTAATTGATTTCAAAGCCGATAGGGAAGAAATCGACCGATCTAGGCTCGTTTAGAATAGGCTTGTTCGGTGACGTATTGCCTATGCGCTGATTGGCTCGATAATTGCTCGTTTATGCTTATTCTCTTGTTTCGTGAGATATTGAGAATGAATCTCTAGATGAGTTAGTTTTTTGAGTCCTTTGGTCGCGTAATTGATTGCCGTTAAATGTTTTGAGAACCGGAAACGATTATCCCCGATACCCTAGCCTCCCTTATTACTATTTGAATTCGTATTCGGAGTTGTGAGATTTGAATGGCTAGAATCAACTGTATAATTCGTAGTAGATAAATCCAACCAAATCAATCTGATTAGTGTGTTAGGATTATTTTCTCTTTTGTGATTGAATACACGTACAAGATAATCCGACTGACCTTCCTCGAGACACGACCCGGTGTTCGAATCTTTTGATTCTACTCCGGTAAAAAATTACAACAAAATTGGCGCCGTTGCCGGGGAAGGTTTAGGACTTATTTTGTGCGCCTATTCATTTTGTTTTCAGTGTTTCTCTTATTTTTTGTGATTCTTGTTTTTTGTGTTTCTTTACGTTTCATTTTCTTGTTTAGGCTTAGTGTTTTCTTGTTTCGCTTTTCTAGTCTCTCTTTTATCCATCTGGTGCCCGTGACGTTTTGTTGTTTTTGTTTATGCGTACCAAGAGCGGTCTAGTAATCATCCCAAACAACGAATCAATCCAGAGGGATCTACAAGAACTGTTGGCTAACCTTGCCCCTGAATCTTCAGACTCAGCCAACCGAGATTCAGATAGCCAAGGAGACATGGCACACAACGGTGATGAAGAAGTGGATAACCCACCTCGTCATCTCCTTCGTGATTTGGCTCAACCAATAATCGGGCCAGTGACTTCATGCATCCGGCTGGGCCCAGCAGCCCGGAATTACGAGCTTAAAACGATCCACTACAACCAGCTGCCATCCTTCCATGGTCTACCCAACGAGGATCCACTTCATTTCATTTGGGAGTTCTATAACTTCCTCCAGACTTTCCCTCTCCACAACTTAAACGAGGACCAGCTGAAGATGAGATGTTTCCCAGAGACACTCAAAGACCGGGCCAAGGCTTGGTTTATGACACTTGCTCCCGACTCCCTAACCACTTGGAAGCAAGTGTACACCAAGTTTATTGGGAAATACTACTCTCACCAGAAGACGCAGGAGTTCCGGTCTCAAATCGTCTCTTTTGCCCAACAACCGAATGAGCCACTTCATGAAGCATGGGAGCGCTTCAAAGACCTCCAGAGGCAGTGCCCACACCATAACTTCCCACCTGCTTTGTTGAT